AATTGAATGTGAATATATTGTGAGAGCGGGTTGCACGCTGCAACGGAAATTGATGGAAATAATAATTGGTTATGACTGCTTAGTTGGCTTCAATTATTATAAATGAGTTACCTGATTTTATTTCTATTATTTGTTGTTGTTACTAATATTGCGTACAGGTTAATGTAAGTGACCCGCCTTAGCCTCGTCACTACTTCGTCGAGGTTAGGCTCAGCACTTACCGGTACATGATGTCGGTTGTACTGATACTACACTCTACACTTCTTGTGCAGATTTCAGAGTTGGTCCAAGCGGCGTACTATAGACTTGCTCAGATTTCAGCTACTCGGAGGAGACTTGAGGTATAACTGCACAGCGTCCGCAGTTCTGAAGTCCCCGTCATTGAAGCTCGTGCACTTGAGACACCAATTCTGGGATGGTATTTAGACACCGTTGTTGTTTTTTGGATTATTCACTATATTTCACAATTTACTTCCGCAATTGTTCTTTGTTATTAATAAATTTAAAAATTGTTTTAAAAGTGGATAATATTACTCTAATGTTGTCTTGCCTAGCAAGTGAAATGTTAGACGCCATCACGGTCTGAAGGTGGGAATTTCGGGTCGCGACAAACTTCATCTCAAAACTAGCCTTAGAATACCTCCAAAATTGTTTTCTCATCTCCTCACCTCTCCAAGTTTTTGACCAGTTAGACTATATGTGCCTAGCACACATTCGATGCTCAAAATTTGGTAGCAATTTAGGAATGCTTGGTACCAATCCCAACAAAACATAAATGAATCAAACAGAACCCTACAAAATAGAGATGAATAAAACAAAATAATAACACATGAAGTAGAAATTTAAGCCAGAAAGTTTTGGTAAAATACCTTTTGCGTATCAAACATAATTGTTAATCCAGCTTTATCTCCTAACTCCAAATCAGATATTAAGTTGTACATAAACCAACTCCAAGATGCTTTTGACTCATTGTCTATCACATCCCATGCAATGGGATATTAAGAAACTAGATAAAGGATCTCTAGTTGTCGCAATAGATCAGTATATTCTTTAATGATCAAGTTTGCCTCCGCAAATGAGAAATTATTGGTTCCCCAAGTACACGCAAGTATACGTGGCTGTTAAGTAATAAAGTGACTCGAAAGTCGGATGTCGAACCCACAGAGACTTAGATCAATTGTCAACTAAGAAAACTAAAATCAATTAAGTGTCCAAGATATTTAAGAATGATGTTTTTCTATTAAGCTACTATTGCGGAAATTAAACAAGTAACAACTAATTTATCAAGAATGCAAATGTGTATGATGAGATTTTAATTCAGAAGAGGTGAAAATTCTAGGGTTGTGGTTGGTTTATCAATCCTATTAAGTTCAATAATCACACTCGTTGGTCCAGATTATCTATGGTTGCTAATTAACCGGATCGTTTATATGAATAGCTTGTTCCCACAATAGTACTCGCCTGCCCATAATATATCAATCCTATATTCCTATGGTATTGAGTCCATCATGAACAAATATAATACGGTATTCAATTAAGCAAGACTGTTAGGTATATTCCTATCCTAACCGCGAAATCGTCCCCCGAGCCACGGGTTCAGAAATAAGCTCTCTCTAATTCTACTCTAATCTAAACTCGGCTTTCCCCAAGCATAGCATAGATAGTAAGGTGAATTGGTAGCTACAACAATTCACAAGTTAAATCTAGAATTAAAGAAACAGCCACAAGATGATAATCCGAATTAGCGAAGATGTAATTAATAAACGTTAATAATTATGTCAACCACACCCTCAGCACCCTTAAGAGCTTTTTCTTCCTGCAATTTAGACAAATGAGAAGAAACAATCATAGGTAAAGTGTTAGAACTACCCAAATATGCATAATGAAGATAATATGGTAAGGGTTTAAGTTCCAGTTTTGGAGCCTCCTCAACTGAGGGTCTAGGGGGCAGGCCGATTGGCCTATCCAGAGGCTCAAACTGGGATCTTGCTCTTATGATTCACAAGATGCATCCAAAATTTGCAACATCTCCACAACCTCCTCTTTCGGTTCCAAGTGATTGAACAACATCAATTCCTTTTCTAGTGCATCTTTTTTAAATGCACTTGGCTCTAAGACTGGTTCATTTATCTTCACCACATAAATCATGGCCAGGTCCTCGTAATGATGAGGCAACTGAATGGCTCGATATACATTGAAGACCGCTTCTTCATTGTCCACCCTCAGGATCATCTTACCTTCTCGGACTTTGATAATGGCATCTCCAGTGGCCAAAAGAGGTCGTTCCAAGATGATAAGAACTAACTCATCATCCTCGTAGTCCAGGATGATAAAATCTACAGGGAAAATAAACTTCCCAATCTGCAGCAAGACGTCCTCAATTACCCCATCAGGATAAACATAAGATATGTCAGCTAACTGAAGCAGCACCGTGGTGGGTCTCGAAGCTCCTAATCTCAATTGTTTGAACACTGACAACAACATCAAATTGATACTTGCACCCAAATCACACAAGGCTCTACCCACATTAATTTCACCAATCCTCACGGGGATGGTAAAACTACCCGGATCCTTAAGCTTTTGTTGAAGCTTATGTTGAATCCTGGAAGTGCACTCCCCAGTAAGTGCGCCGGTCTCAAATTCAGTTAACCTCCTCTTATTTGCCAATATATCCTTAATATATTTTGCATATTTTGGGACCTCACGGAGCATGTCCACCAAAGGGATGTTCAAGTGTATCTGCTTCAGCATATCTAAAAATTTGTGAAACATATGGTCATCATTTTTATTTCTCAGTCTTTGAGGAAAATGAGGTGGCACCCTCTCCGATATTTGCTCATACTCTATTTTGTTTCTCTCATCTACCTCTACAGGTTTTGGCACTCTTTCTTCTTCGAGCCCAGACTGCTCCTTTTTTTTCTTAGGCACCTCTGCTAACTCTCTCCCATTTCTCAAAGTCACTGCATTGAGTTGAGAATTTTTCTCTGTATCACTTGGGAGAGCACCAACATGTCTAATATTCTGATTGTTAGCCATTTTTCCAAACTGCCTCTCTGGATTTCTGAACTCTGTGCGCAATTGTTGATTCTCAGCCATAACTTTCTGATTGTCTAGCAAGAGCTTTTTAATCATGTCAGTCAAACTCTCTTCTGATTGTTGTGGAGGTTGAGGTGGATGATTATAATTCGCTTGAGGCTTGATGTTCTGATTTCCACCCCAAGAGAAGTTAGGATGCTTCCTCCAGTTCGGATTGTATGTGTTACCATATTGAGCATTTTGATTCATCGCCCCCTAGCTTGTTTCCCCACATTGTATATGGATTCAGGATTCATGGGGCATATGTCACTTATGTGACCTTCACCACATAACTTACAACAAGTAGATATTTGTTGCACATGCTGCATCTGTTGTGCTTGGTGCATTGTCATCTTATTCATCTGATTTGCTAATCTCGCTATATCTGCCTTCATGGCTGAGAAATCATCAAGCTCGATCACACCTGCTGCCTTTTGTTTAAGTGCTCTTCGTGGTTCCCCATCTCCTTGCCAATTATTATCATTAGCATTGAAATTTGTTAGCATGATCTGGATCTCACTATACGGTTTTGCCATGCAACTACCCCCACATGTTGAGTCAAGATTCATCTTTGATGCCTCGTCCAATCCATCAACGAAAGTGTGACCCAACACCTCATCAGTCTGACAATGATGTGGGCAGTCTCTGAGTAGCTTCTTGTATCTTTCCCAAGCTTGACAAAGAGTCTCGCCATCTCGTTGTTGAAACCCAAGAATCTGGCTCCTCAGCGACTTTGTCTTCTTAGTGGGAAAAAACTTGATCAAGAATTTCCTTGCTAGATCATCCCAATTATGGATTGAGTTCGCGGGCTCCTTTTGTAACCATTCCTTAGCTTCCCCTAGCAGTGAAAAGGGAAACAGTGTCAGCCTGACATAATCCTTGGAAACGTTCGGATAATTGTAAGTGTCTGTAATTTCCAGGAAGTTCTGAATATGCCCTTGCGGGTCTTCATGAGATAGACCCACATATTGCCGTGTGGACTGAATCAGCTGTACCATATACTGTTTGAGTTCAAAGTGACCCATGATCTCAGGCTTCACAATTGCCTGAGTTATATTTGCAAGATTTGGCCTTGCAGCTTCTATCACCGGACGCCCTTCATTACGTGCCATCTCTATTGGTTGTGGTTGAACTACGATATCCAACTCTCTTTCAATTCTAGTTCTAGCTTTAACTTCCCTCCTTACTCTATGAAGTGTTCGTTTGATCTCAGGATCAAGAGGAAGGATATTGTTTGCGCTTCTACTCCTCCGCATTCAAGAGAAGAGCCTGCGTTATCACAAATAAAGCAAACTAAAAATTAAAACTTGAATAAATAACGAATAAAAGCTTAACTTAGATAAACAATCAATAACTAAGTCTTCTGCAACAGCGCCAAAAACTTCTTGGTTTCCCAAGTACACGCAAATATACGTGGCCGTCAAGTAATAAAGTGACTCGAAAGTCGGATGTCGAACCCACAAAGACTTAGATCAATTGTCAACTAAGCAAACTAAAATCAATTAATTGCCCAAGTAACAACTACTATTACGGAAACTAAACAAGTAACAACTAATTTATCAAGAATGCAAATGTGTATGATGATTGTAATTCGTAGGAGGTGAAAATTCTAGGGTTGTGGTTGGATTATCAACCCTATTAAGCTAAATGATCACACTCATTAATCCAGATTATCTATGGTTGCTAATTAACCGGATCGTTTATATTAAAAGCATGTTCCCACAATACTACTCGCCTGCCCACAATATATCAATCCTATATTCCTATGGTATTGAGTCTACCATGAACGAATATAATACGATATTCAATTAAGCAAGACTGTTAGGTATATTCCTATCCTAACAGCGAAATTGTCCCTCGAGCCACGAGTTCAGAATCAAGCTCTCTCTAATTCTACTCTAATCTAAACACGGCTTTCCCCAAGCATAACATAGATAGTATGGTGAATTGGTAGCTACAATAATTCACAAGTTTAAAATAGAATTAAAAAAATAACTACAAGATGATAATCCGAATAAACAAAGATGTAATTAATAAACGTTAATAATCATGTCAACCAAAACCCTAGAACTAGAGTGCTTAGCCACTCATGTTCGTAGTAACAATTTTTCAAGTATTTTGCATAAACAAATTACAAAGAATAGATAAAGGAATGAAGAACTCGATGATTTTCTCCTCCAAAAGTTATTCTACGTAATGTTCTTCCTTCCGATCGCAAAAACTCCTCTAAAAATGGTGTTTAATGACTATTTATATGTGTAGAGAAAAAGCCTAGACGAAATAACCAAGTCCAAAACCAAAAAGGCGGCAAGATAGGCTTTAAAACACGGAACATCCTCGCTACAAGCCTCGCAGCGCGAGGCAAAATGCGAGCTTCATCTCACTGTAGCCCATGCGACGCAAGCTCTATCGCGCGCTTTAATCCTCGCCTCAACTGCTCTAACGCGAGCAAAGTAGCTCGCTACGCCTGCTGCTGCTTCGATTCAATTTTGTTGCCTAACATTTCCATTTCACGTTTTTGTTTCTTTTTTCAATTGTTCTTTTTGTCTCCTTTTGATTTGTCTCTTTTGTCTTCCTTTGTAATGTTAAACCTTAATCCTTATATATCTACTAATTAAATAATCATAACTCCATTCCTGTAGTGTATAAAATACACATAAAATCTCCACTTTGCTCCCAATTACGTCTTCAACGTACCTACACATAAAATAAACTCAATTAAGTACAAATATAGCATAGTTTAGTATTAAAGCCCCAAAATGTAAGGTAAGTAATGCACTAAAAATATGGAATTATAGCCAAACATCACTACCCCACACTTAAATGTTGCTCTTCCTCGAGCAATCCAACTACACTTTATATAGATACGATATTTTGAAACAATTCTCCTAACACATCACACCAAGAATCTTTAAAATAGACTAAGCACAAGGGTGTAACATCTTCACCTCAAGATTTTACTCACAAGTACCATGCATTATTCACCACTCACTCACTTACTCTAACATAGAGGTCAATGACATTATTACCTTTTCTTCATGTATCAAGTTCCCTCACACAACAAAAGAGAGTAGTTCCATAAATATTAAAATTTAAGAACAATTAGGAACTCAAGATAGTAAAAATTCACTCACTCTCAGAAATAACATTCATATGCCACAAAAGATGCACCATAGGCTTGCCTGTAGTGTACAACTCTACTAATCGAGCTCATTCAGTCTAGGATCAAGTATGGCTTTAATTGGTTGTAAAGTAGGCTGCGGGTCGGGTAGGATACATTTGGCTATAAGAGTGACTACACAGAATCTCGTCTAATAATTGGCAAGTAACACCTTCGACTTCTGACGATCAAAGTCACCTCCATAATAGTGCTTTACTATTTGTCCGTTCCCTAAGAACGTTCTCTCGCCACCTAAGACGCACAGCTCAATTGCACCATGTGGAGTGACTCTCACTATCTCAAACGGGCCTGACCATCTCGATTTGAGCTTCCACAGAAAAGCATCTTAATTGGCCCGGTTCGAACTCGCGATGGTGGATATGCTTATCATGCCAGCGGTTGGTCTTTTCTTTCTATAACTTGGCATTCTCATACGCATGCAAGCAAAACTCATCAAGCACGTTCAATTGCATCACCCGCTTTCTACCCACTAATTCTGCATCAATGTTCAGGTTCTTTATCGCCCAATAGGCCTTGTGCTCAAGTTCCACCGGTAAATAGCATGCCTTCCCATAAACTAGCTTGTAAGGGGAGGTTTCGATTGGAGTTTTATAGGCAGCCCTGTATGCCCATAGAGCATCATCAAGCTTTGCAGCCCAATCTTTCCTACTTGCACTAACCGTCTTCTCCAGGATATGCTTTATCTCTCTATTTGAGACTTTAACTTGCCCACTAGTCTGAGGATAGTAAGCGGTTGCAACCTTATGTTTGACCCCATATTGCAGAATAGTATTCCCTTCAGATTCTAAATGTACCTCAGTAGTAGTTGTTGGTCCCTCAA